ACAGAGCTTTCCGCACAAAATAGGTGTCATATTCGTCTTTAGGGGGTTAAATAACCCATGGGGACGGCAGCACGGCGAAATCTGAGGTTTTGACTCAGCTTTGAAAAAATGGGGTATGGATAGTCATGGCTGACTGATTGCCACCAGCGATACTACGACTAGCATACTGATGATGACTGATTTCCAAGCTGAAATAGCTCTTCAGTCATGCCTTTCAGCACCTGGCCCACTGATTCGTGTAGTTTGGGCATATATTCCTGATTACCGTAGGAGAAATTCCACTCTCGAGACCAGTAATTGATGGTGGGTGAACACACGCGTACGGCCAATCAATCACCCATAGCATAGCCCACATTTTCCAAGTGAGGTCGAAATATCAGATTCGGCTAGAAACTTCTCCCCAGGGGTAATTTGACCCGCTGAACATGAATATCATGGTATTTCACTGCAAGAACCCTTGTGACATGTGTTTACGAGGGGGACAAGCACAACACTCTTTCAGGCCACAAGGGGTCTACACTTTCAAAAAAACTGATTGCAGGTCCTTTTATAGGATAGGGCAGGAGAGCAGAGATGTTAGAAGCTTTGTCAACCGTGTTCTTGGACAAATGCAAAAAGGCAACAGATGGCGGAAACCGATCCGACGACGTCGCTGCGACTACGAAACCCACTCGCTATCCGTTGCGCTCTGCTGCCACGTGTCGGGAAGACTCCATTCATCAATGTGAAGACGCTTCCACGTTTCGTCGCGATAGCATGTAAAACAACCACGAGGAGAGAAACCTCATATACTTCGGCTCAAAGGATCGTTCTGCAAATTTTGAAGACTGTTTTGAATTCACCGTCTCAAGACGAGTACAACGGTGTGCATTTCATTGGAAATGGCCAGGCTGACCTGTTGACCTTTCCTGGTAAGTCAATGATGGAAAGTTGGCTAGCGAGGCCTAAGCCGGATCCATAAATGGTATTACTCTTCTACTCGGCTGGATGGAAGGTGGTTGAGGAGGGACATACTGAAGCCATTTGAAATCTGACAAATGCTTGTTGTTGCGATAAAAAATGTGGGGAAATGTACCCCACTTCTTACGCCCGCCGCATTCGTGCGAGCCCGTTTCTTGCTAGAGACCACTTTCCGCACCAGGCGGTAGACAACGGCTTCGATAGAGCTTGGCATGATCGACTCTCTGTCTTAGCCGCATGCTCGTCCGCAGGCAAAAATCCAGTGAGGGGGCGGAACGGCGCCTGTCCTTCTTCACATTTCTCGTTAGTTCGCACATGTAATGAGTTCACCTCAACAGCATGACAATGCAAATTAATCGTGCACATCTGTCATTAAAAAGACTGGAGAAATTGATCGCTAGGATTGATCCTTGAGTGCTTGAGTCGCTTTGATGAAGATCAATTAGCTTGCATTCGGCTCCTTCTATTGATGGCAAGTTGTTGGGAATACGGACTTCACTTCATTAGTATTGACAGTTTCGTGGGTCATTGTAGAACATCACATCTAAACCACCGGCTACGCGCGAGCATCCTTAGAACTAGATTGTCTTGATTTTATCCTTTATTCAACAATTCCTACTTTAAATCACGATATTGCCATTCTCCAAAATACTTTTATAAAATAGAATCAGGCTTCAGAGCTTCTCAAGAAGATGATTGACAAGCTACTGGTGCTATTCTTCATTCTACAAAACGTATCAGGTTCGTACTTTCTCTCTTTCCTTTGCTGTACAAGGGCGCGATAGCGTTATAGAGACGATCTCTTCACCAGAAGCAAACAGCAAACAAAATTCGAGTTGGAACTGGGCTGTAGGGCAATGATACATGGGTGCTGTCTAGTCTAGTCTAGTCCACTCGTGCTGCTGCATGCCTACCACCACAGCCAATGCGTTGCTTGTCTGCGCCCTCTATCTGATGTTCCTTATTAGTGAGTAGTAGTAGTACAAGCAGTTAGTATCGAGCAAGTGCTGCATCTTGATGGTACGCGGAAAGAGTATGGAGACAGCACTGGGGCATTACTTCTTTACAACCCGTTATCGTGCGGGAAAAGTGAAACGCTGCAGTAAGGGGTGGATTTGCCTCGTACATAGGATGAACGAAAACCCGTTTTTTTAGGCCGAACTATTGGAAACGGTGTTGAAGCAAATGGTGGAGCAACAGGGATCGGTGGCGGCATAGGCAGCGGTGTTGCACCCAACGGCTTCTCAATTGGAAGCGGAGTACGTCCAACTGGAAGTCCTGCAATGGATGGTGGCCAGGGCGGCATAATCGGAGGAGGCGTAAGGCCACGGGAGGGATCCTCAGTTGGAGGAAATATTCGTCAAGATAGAGCAGCTATAGGAGACGGGGTACGTCAACCCGAGAGTTCGATCGGAGACGGAGTTCAGCAAAACGATGGCTCCATTGGAAGTGGAGTTCATCAACAAAACGGTTTGATTGGCGATGGTGTAACCGTGCGTCGAATTAGATCGATAGGAAACGGCGTTCAAGCATCAGACGGTTATCCAACCCAAGTCATCTATTGGAAGTGGTGTTCATCAAAGCGGTACATCCATTGGAAGTGGCGTAATTGTGCAGCCGCCCTCCTCGAGAAACAGCTTTCATCACCACAAGACCTCAATTGGTGATGGAGTGGGACAATCTGGAGTCGGAATAGGAGGAGGCGTAAGCAGTCGAGGAGGATATGGCACTCAAAATGGACATGGGATCGGAACAGGCGCTCGTGAGTATTCCTAGATCATTTCAAATCTTAACCAGTTTAGTGTTGACCATCCAATAGTCAACGCTACTCACCACCAATTACTATAAACTGAAACTAGTTTCATCATATGTGCATTAAATGAATTCACCAAGAGTGCGTTTC